TGAGCATGATAGTGTGCATGTGAAGTTATTGTGTGCAAAAAGTAAAGTTGCACCTTTAAAAACACTGACAGTTCCAAGACTGGAACTTTGTGCTGCCCTTCTATTAGCTCAGTTAGTACGAAAGGTGACATCTTCTATGACTGATAGTATTAATCAGGTATTTCTGTGGTCTGATTCAACTGTGGCTCTGAGTTGGATAAACTCTCCTCCCAGCCAGTTTCAAATCTTTTTAGGTAATAGAGTAGCCCAGATCCAAACCTTGTCGGAGGTAAATTCCTGGCATTATGTCCGTACTAATGAGAATCCAGCGGATCTGGTTTCAAGAGGAGTTTTTCCTTCAAAATTGAAAGATAATCGGTTGTGGTTTGAAGGACCCAGTTGGTTATCTGAAAAACCTGAAATGTGGCCTGAAGAATCATTCCAAGTTCTCGAAGATTTACCTGAGTGTAAGAAAACAGTAAAAACATTGCTCATCACTGAAAGAGAGTCATTTTTTCCTTTTGAGAAATTTTCAAATTGGCAAAAAATGAAAAGAATCATTGGATATTGTATAAGATTTGTAAATAACTGTAGGTCCACGAAATCGAAAGCAGGAGGCGTTCTCACTGTCGAGGAATTGCATAGGTCTTATATGTGTCTTTTGAAATGGGCGCAAGAGAAGTGCTTCTCAAAGGAATTAGAAATTCTGAGGAAAAATAAAGCAATTGATAAAGGAAAATTAGTCACCTTGAGTCCATTCTTGAGTGATGACGGACTATTACGGGTAGGTGGTCGTTTGCAATTGTCCAATTTTTCATATGATAAAAAGCACCCTGTAGTATTGAGTGCAGATCATCATCTCACAAAAGTTATTTTCCTCTATGAACATGAAAGGCTTTGTCATGCTGGCCCTCAGATGCTACTTTCAGCTATTAGAGAAAATATATGGCCATTGCGTGGTAGGAATCTTGCTAGAAAAACAGTGCATCTTTGTATGAGATGTTTCAGGCTAAACCCTAGGCAAAATTCTCAAATCATGGGGGTACTACCGGCAGATAGAGTTACACCACAACCAGCACTTTTCGTGACTGGAGTTGATTATGCAGGTCCTTTTTTTTATAAAAAATCATTCCGGACGCGGTAGTAAAGTAAGAAAATGTTACTTATGTCTGTTCGTATGTTTTTCTACACGCGCCGTACATTTGGAAATTGTTTCTGATCTTACAACGGAAGCATTTATAGCTACTTTCCGCAGGTTTACTGCTCGGAGAGGCAAACCTCGTAAAGTATATTCTGACAATGGATCAAACTTCATTTGGGCTAAGAATGAATTACTAGAATTAGGGAAATTTATACATGATCAAGAAGAAACCTTGAAATGTTCATTTTCAAACGAAAACGTGTCATGGCATTTTATTCCCTCTCATGCACCTCACTTCGGCGGACTTTGGGAGGCAGGGGTTAAGTCCTCAAAATATCATATTAAACGTGTTTTAGCAGAGACAAAACTAACTTATGAAGAGTTGACAACTGTCGTCACTCAAATAGAGTCAGTACTTAATTCCCGTCCCCTGACCCCTCTATCCTCTGACCCAGCCGACATGGAAGTCTTGACTCCAGCGCATTTCCTGATTGGGCGGTCTCTGATATCATTACCGGATCCAGACATGCGGGATATCAAGGAAAACCGTTTATCCAAATACCAGAAGCTGCAGCAGTTACATCAGTCATTTTGGCATCGTTGGTCGAAAGACTATGTGGCAGAGCTCCAGCAACGAGTTAAGTGGCACGCCACTAAAGGAGCATTGCAGATTAACACATTGGTGTTGATTAAAGAAGACAACTTACCTCCACTGCGCTGGCTACTAGGACGAGTGCAGGAACTACATCCCGGACCGGATGGCGTGGCAAGGGTTGCCACCATTAGAACCTACAAGGGGGTGATTAAGAGAGCTTTGTCTAAGCTCTGTCCGCTGCCTTTGGAGGAAGCACCAGTGCAATAAAGTGATGAAAAGGTCATTCAGTGAGTGATTGCGCACATCTAACAATTATTGTGTATTTGATATGAAAGACTTTATATGAACTGATTTTATCTATATCCTATATTATTCCCCTATCATGTTGAAAGGGACCCCTTCCAAGGCGGGGCGGGGCATGTTAACGCTTGAAATTATTTTGTATCGTCTAGTGTAACCCTGAGATTTATAAAACACCCTAAAGTAATGACGTCACCCTAGACTGTTTGTGAATCCCCGTTGGGATTAGGGCTGGCGACAGGCAGTACCACGAGAGAACCAGACGAGAGAAGTTGTAATAAATACTTGAGTTAAAAACGTAGAGTTTTATTCAACAGACCCCAAGTGTGATACATTGAGCAAATCAGCTTTTCAGGGAGAATCTAAAAATACAATGAAAAATAGGGTGTTCCATATAAAAAAATCAAATGGTACCCTGTAGATCGTTTGTTCTGAGCACCCTGTATTTTCTGATGTAGCGGAAAAAAACTCAATCAAAAATCATTCAATAAGATGATATTTCAAATTTTGAAATCGGTTTAGAAATAACTGAGCTGGAGGGGGGGAAATTTATGGTGAATCACCCTGTACACATAACCAAAATATTAAATTGTCCAGCAAGAACCACGAGGTTAGAGCATTCTCGCCAGGGGAAATGGGGAAAGGAAAAGGAGGTGGATAAGGGTTATAGTTGGTATGAAAAAATAATAACAAGAAAGTCGAAAAAATAAAATGAAAGAAAATAAAAATAAAATAACTCGTGAACAAAAAATATTTATATTCTGTTGAAAACGTAACGTAAACTCAAAAAAATCAACATAACCGACAACCACTCGCCTAACGCGAGAAGCACAACAATGACTAAATCGGTCTACGCTCTACGCCGTTCCTGTATAACAAGCCACTCCACTCCTTCGTAGTCGGCTGGCCGAGCCCGCCGTACAGCCGTAGGCCGTAGGTATATCAGGAGTGTATAATCAAAGAACCTACTATTCTTTGGTATAATCTCTGGTATAATGTTTCCCGCGATGGATGCATAAATATTATTTATAACCGCTACATGCGTCTTTGAAAATAAATGATATTCTGGAAGTTATACATTTATTACATTTTCGTCACCAGAGCTTTTTTACGATGTTTCAATACCTACTCAGCTCTTGGACTGCTGACATTTTTCTTGCCATAATACCTACATAGGCAGAGGCACAGTAGGTTACATTACAATATTCAAATTGAATTATAACTTATTGACGCTCAGAGGCACTGAAGGAAAATTCTGATACCAATATTAGATGGATATGTTGAATTATGAATCACTGAAAAATTGCTAATTCAAAAATCACCAGTCATTTTTACTGCAAGTACTGCAAGCGTGAACAAAAACATCGAATTTTTTTTTTTTCAGTTTGTACATTTCAAATTTCAACATCAACTTACAAATAAGTATAGGAATAAGAATTATAAATACCTACAATTTAAATGAAAATAGAATGTCAATCATGCCAATCCGTATATTAAAAATTAGGACGGAATGGTCGGATACGGTGCACAGCGAGCGCACTGCAAACTACTGATAACGTACGTACGGACGGCCAGCAGAGCTTGGCCGCACCCAAGGTATGACGCGTATCGTTCGCGTATACGCGAGAATTCAAACTTGAAGCGGGGAATCTGTAGGCGATGCGTCGAGATTGGTCGAGACAAGAAACCACCGATCGGCGGGCCGTCTGCATCAGTGTAATGAGCTACGCGAGCGTTTCAACTTGAAGCGGCGTTTTGACGATTGGATTACCCTGATGTCGTAGGTCCTGAATTAGTTCGTGATTTTCGGAGTATATGCGGATGGCATACTCAAAGGTTCCAGTGAATTAAATTGAAATAATAGTGGCATAACAGTAGGATAATGAACGATGAATTATGAAAACAGTTTCGGAAAATAATTGTATTCATCAAATAGTTCAGTAATTTTCCCCAAATTATTTGGTACGGCCCGGCCGACCCTGCCGTCCCTGACGAGCCGTCACTGCAACAAGCAATATTATGTGCGAATGCCATGGTTTGTTTCATGCACGTTACAATATGTTTATCCATATTGGCACGTGACACAAGAGAGAATTCAGATTTCTGGTACAATACAATAACAATACAGTTTCACGCATTCTCAAATTTTCCATTTTGGATTCTCATGGGCATACACGATTTCCCGTATATTTCTCGGAAAATGATTTCACCCACCAAAAATCCCGCATGTGTTCAGATTTCTCGAAATGAACGAAATGCAGTGAATTTCTGGATTGTTTATTTACCTCACCATGCCTTAAGGTGAGTTCCCAATGCAGGTTTTAGGCTTTTCGCGTCACGGCGCGACTTGCACTATTATTTACTTCAGTTTCCAATGAAATCATCTATCATTGTCGATATAGTTGAAGTGTGCATTGAAAAATCATGGGAATATCTGGGAATACTGAAAATATAGGACAATGCTCCATTTAGATATAATGAGATAGTGAGGTAGGCGCCTACTTCAGGACAAAGCAATGATTTAACTTATCATGGGATCACTTTCAGAAATGAAGGTTTAATGAAGTTGCATTCGAAATTTTTACATTTTCATGAAAAATCTTGTGTTGTGAGAATTTATATTGCTTTAATGAATATTATGGTTCCTGGAACATAACCTCAACACAACACCAAGCAGCAACGCCAAAAAGTTGAAATATTTCAACTTCATCGCGTCAAATATTTTTCAAATTCAGCGTCACCAATCAGGTTGCATGACGCGTAAAGCAAAAACGCTGCTAAGGGAAGTCATCTTTACCCTTCAAGCATGAGCAAATTACCTTCTTGGCTGTGACGTGACGTTAGTCGCAGATGCCTAAACAACCGCTGCTGCGGACTGCGTTTCATGAATAATTTCCGATGATTTCGATTTCAGTAACCAGACGGCAACGCGGTTGTGTAGGCACTTCCCTATTATTATTTGTATTTTTGTATTTGTCTATTTTCATTCTTTGTGATTGTGTTGTGATTCCTGGTCGGGCAGTTTGTTCGTATTCAGTGTGAAGTTCTGAAGTTTTACGGTTTAGTTTAGTTTTTAGAGGAAGAAAATGGCAGATCCCGAGTTGAATGTAGACAGCTTAATACAGAGATTATTAGAAGGTAGTATTCTTAATTTATATTACAATGTTTTATCATTGGTGAAACCGAATATACAAATATTTACCTGTCAAATATGGGAGTAGGAACCTAGAAGAATCATTATAATAACTTGAATTCTCCAGCAAAGCAATTACATATTTGAAATCATGTTTATATGAATGTATATTGAAGGTGAGATAAAGGTATCTATGTACCCATAATGATATTGAAATGTTTTTTCCCAGGTTCTTCTGATTGCCTATCTCCTCAACTATCTCTAACAATTCCTTAAAAGTTAACTTCATAGTTTGGGCCCTAGACAACTTCTATGAAAATTATGTTAGTTACATAGATGGTTTATTGAGTACATTGTTATTATTCTATTTACTTGGTATGGTTGATAAATCTAGGTAAAGCACAAACAGCAGCAACAAATTAGCACGAATTCTAAAGTTTTTGACACCACAGACTATTCCATCATAAAATATGAATCTTGGTAGACTAGTGACTAGTAGGTAACTCAATAGGTAAGTACCTACAAACATACTTACCTACCTACATAAATGATGGTCATATCCTATATCAAATTAATTATTCATGTCAAATGGATGATAGGTATGCACCTACAGAAATAATGAGATAAATCACTAAGATGACCATCATATTATACTTGAGTAAAGACTAGTTAATGATTCAAAACCCAACTCAGCGCTCAGGAATTGATTTTTGAAAGATTTCTTTCTTGAAACAGATATGTCAACTAGCTTCCTGAACACAATCAGATAGTTGTCTGATTTCAAAGCATCCATCTCCATCCCTCCACTCAAACAACCAATAAATGATCTTCTATTCATAATGTAACTTGCCTACCTAGAGATGAAACCTATTGGTCTGTTGCTTGATACTTCCTGGAAATTAACAAACACTTGTAGAACAATCCCTTTAAAGGCTTAACTCTAATTCAGAGAATCTTGTTGTGCACATACAGCACAGAAAAGTTGATGATGAGAAATTCAATTAATGTAATTAAAAATTGAATGCCTTTCAGAGATCAAGAGATGACTCACCAGTACCATCTGAACTCACCATTGCTGGGTACCCAGAACAATCTTCTTGCTTGATAAGGGCCAATCAATTATGCAATTAGAAAATAGCATGGGCAATATATGCCAGCAGGTCCTATCACTTCTGCTTTTACAATTTGAGTGAATTCAAAAATTTCTTCCTCAATTTCTTCTCTCTGCGTTCTCACAAAACCGCTCATGCACATGTCAATCCAAACCTGGAAGGCTGGATATTTATGTGTACCCATTAGCACAAATAATATTGTTGAATTATCCAAATAGATTTATGTAAATGAAACTAATATTGAAATAACCAAAATAAAATATTGAACAATTGAATGAATCATAACATTATCATTATTATGATCACCCCCCAAAAAAACTAATTTTATACATAGACCACCCACCAAATCACACAGTTATTTTTGTACCTTACTGAGAAGGTAATGGACAAATCTTCACAACCGGACCCTGCAAAATTCCCTTTGCTGTACCCAGTGTGAAGCTAGCAGCCATTTCCTAATACCAAAGAAGCTAGCAAAGCCACTTTCGAATTTCAACATGAGACACATCCGAGGACACATCTCATAATTTTAGGCTCATTTTAGGCTAATTTATTACCCCATTACCTCCCTATCATAGATAAATTTGTGGCTTTGCTAGCCGAACTCAGCAAAGCCATTTTTGAAAAACAATATTTTTTGAATATCTGATATAGTTTATATGTAGTGCTCATTTTAGGCTGATTTATTACCCTATTCCCAATTTTCTTGCTCCTCTTTATCATAGAAAAATCTGTGGCTTTGCTAGCTTCGGCCCAACTCAGCAGAGCCATTTTTGAAAATATTATATATTTCACGGATTTGATATATATAGAATAGAACTCGGAATAGAATAGAATAGAAATTTATTGATTTCATTAGATTACAATTTCCCATTTTACTTGGTTCTTTGGGATTTTCTCTCCTCGTTTCTATAAAATAAAAGTATTCCTATTATTTCAATATATTTGTAGAGGGACAAATCAGATGATTTGCCCCAAAATGTCACTGCGTTTAACAAATTTTTCTATCAGGGAGTCTAAAAGAAAAATCCAGTAGCTTGTCAGTGACAATTTGTTTGAAAAAATTTTTGAAGGAAAGAAATATAGATATATTGAAAAAATATCGAATTTGTACTTATCTTTGGACGTTTCGGGACCGATTCTGCTCCCGTTCTCAACATGTAAATGCAAATTATTTTTCTTTGAAAGTTGTGCTGCCTATAGTTTGACACTTTTCAGTGTCATACTGATGTTGGCATTTTGGGGCAAATCATCTGATTTGTCCCTCTACAAATATATTGAAATAATAAGAATACTTTTATTTTATAGAAACGAGGAGAGAAAATCCCAAAGAACCAAGTAAAATGAATGTACCACCTCCTCGATTAACCTACAGACAGTATTTTACAATTTCCCATTTTATACGAAAAACAAAAAAATTGATTGGTCTATGAAACAGGTCAAAGTTTTACAAATTCATTTATGGCACAATTGAATAACATTTTGCTTATAAGATGAAACTAGCTTTAGCAGTTAGGTATACACATAAAAGTAAAAGTAAAAGTAAAAACACGTTATCTGGGACAAGTTGAATTACAGAAAAATAGATAAAAAAATACTAACAAAAATACAAAAAATACAAACATCAAGTACCTAGCTGGAATTCAAGTGAAGACTTTAAATAATCCTCAACTGTATAGGGCTCCAGCTCAGTCAAGTATGCTTTCAGTGACCCCACAAAACCACTGGTCTGCTCAATCTTTTTTATTGCTTGCGGCAGACAGTTGAAAAATTTTAGAGCACTATACATTGTCCCTCTTTCTGTGGAGCTTCTAGTGTGCCTGGGAAACACATAATCGCCATAGTGCCTAGTGTTGTAAGCATGTGAACTTTTGTAACAGTTGAACTGGTGCGACTGTTTCGTAAGAAATTTAATTGTTTCTAATATATACACAGCAGGAACAGTGAGACGGGAGTGAAGTTAGCCACATCCACAAAATACACCGAGAAAAATTTATCGCCGAAAATGTGTTCAGCAATTTCACCCGATTTCAGATGGGACTTGAACGCATTTCATAGAACGACTGAAGAGGGGTGAGAGCCTGAGTCGAATTTGATAGGGAGGTGGTGAATCGATAGTTTATCAAGTCGTCTAAAGGGAAAGAAAAGAGGTTTGAAAACGAAAATAACTCATTATCTCAGTGAATACTCGTTGTACATGGATTTTGAAGGCGGCAAACGAATCTACTAATCGAATTTGATAGGAAGGTGGTGAACTCATAGTTTGTCAGGCCGTCAAAGGGGGTAGAAAAGGGGTTGAAAAACAAAAAAATCAATATCTCCGTTAATATTCGTTGTACATGGATTTTGAAGGCGGCAAACGAATCTACCGATCGGATTTGATGGGAAGGTGTTGAACTCATAGTTTGTTAGGCCGTCTAGAGTGGTAGAAAAGGGGTTGAAAACCAAAAAAAATCAATATCTTCGTTAATAATCGTTGTACATGGATTTTGAATGCGGCAAACGAATCTACTAATCGAATTTGATAGGAAGGTGTTGAACTCATAGTTTGTCAGGCCGTCAAAGGGGGTATAAATGGGGTTGAAAAACGAAAAAAATCAATATCTCCGTTAATATTCGTTGTACATGGATTTTGAAGGAGGCAAACAATTCAACTGATTGTATTTGATTGAAAAGTGTTGAACTCATAGTTTGTCAGGCCGTCAAAGGGGGTAGAAAAGGGGTTGAAAAACAAAAAAAATCAATATCTTCGTTAATATTCGTTGTACATGGATTTTGAAGACGGTAAACGAATCTACTAATCGAATTTGATAGGAAGGTGTTGAACTCATAGTTTGTCAGGCCGTCAAAGGGGGTAGAAAAGGGGTTGAAAAACAAAAAAAATCAATATCTCCGTTAATATTCGTTGTACATGGATTTTGATGACGGCAAACGATTCTACTGATTGTATTTGATTGAAAAGTGTTGAACTCATAGTTTGTCAGGCCGTCAAAGGGGGTAGAAAAGGGGTTGAAAAACAAAAAAAATCAATATCTTCCTTAATATTCGTTGTACATGGATTTTGAAGGCGGCAAACGATTCTACTGATTGTATTTGATAGAAAAGTGTTGAACTCATAGTTTGTCAGGCCGTCAAAGGGGGTAGAAAAGGGGTTGAAAAACAAAAAAAATCAATATCTTCGTTAATATTTGTTGTACATGGATTTTGAAGGCGGCAAACGATTCTACTAATTGTATTTGATACAAAAGTGTTGAACTCATAGTTTGTCAGGCCGTCAAAGGGGGTAGAAAAGGGGTTGAAAAACAAAAAAAAATCAATATCTTTGTTAATATTCGTTGTACATGGATTTTGAAGGCGGCAGACGATTCTACTGATTGTATTTGATAGAAAAGTGTTGAACTCCTAGTTTGTCAGGCCGTCAAAGTGGGTAGAAAAGGGGTTGAAAAACAAAAAAAAAATCAATATCTTCGTTAATATTTGTTGTAGATGGATTTTGAAGGCGGCAAACGATTCTACTGATTGTATTCGATACAAAAGTGTTGAACTCATAGTTTGTCAGGCCGTCTAAGGGGGTAGAAAATGGGTTGAAAAACAAAAAATATCAATATCTCCTTTAATATTCGTTGTACATAGATTTTGAAGGCGGCAAACGAATCTACTAAATGAATTTGACAGGAAGGTGTTGAACTCATAGTTTGTCAGGCCTTCAAAAGGGGTAGAAAATGGGTTGAAAAACAAAAAAATCAATATCTCCGTTTATATTCGTTGTACATGGATTTTGAAGGCGGCAAACGAATCTACTAATCGAATTTGATAGGAAGGTGTTGAACTCATAGTTTCTCAGGTCGTCTAAGAGGGAAGGAAAGGGGTTGAAAAAGAAAATAAATCATTAT